TGGGTGTGGCCAACTCAATGTCACTCATGTCGATGGGCGCTTCGCCTTAGCTGTTACAACGGAATAAGGTTGAACCGGAGAGGCAGTTTCTGTAAGCAGGGCAATAAAGATTAGGCTAGAAACACCACCAGAATGTTTCCTTCCTGCCTTTCTTAGCCCTGTAAAGTGGGAAAAAACACAAAATGAGATTTCTTCCAACAACTGGTTCTCCCAACTGCTTAGAAAGTTACCAACCGGTTCTCCCGAATAGGCGCAGACTGGCTGAATCCCACCACTGCGTTGCAGCATCCCCCATGGGCACACAATCAAAATTCAGATGCTGGGCAAGGGACTCACATTTATGAAGGTTGTAGGGTTGATCATGTGATCGGCTTTTGCAACCTTCTGACAAGCAGAGTCAACAGAAGAAGCCAGGTTTCACCACTGTGGCGAGAAAGGTTGTGGAGACGCTTTTAACAAATGTCTCACTTAATCGACATAAACTTCGGGCTCGATTGCGGCCGCCAGCTGAGGACTACCTGCATTTACTCCTGCGGTGTATTTGCATTTCATGCCCTTCCTCTTCTGTTCATTTCAGGTGGTGGAATTCGACACTCCGGCTGCTCTTCTGTCCAATGACAATTCCCGCTTCTACGCCATGTTTGCGGCTGTAGAAAACAAGGTTGCTGTAAAGGGCTAAAATTCAGGGCAAAGTCACTTTATTATGGAGTGTAATCCTCCTCTGCCTGTGGCAGGGACGTTCCTCCCTCCATTTTCATGTCTTTCAAGCAGGTTGTCTTTTCAACTTTTAATATATATTTTTTTTAGGATCGTGGGTCAGGATTGAGTTCTTCTTTTTGTCGGGGGGTGGGGGGGAAGCACTACAAGGAAGATTCTTCATAGTTTTTATTATGGTATTTATTTCGTATTCTTCTTACTAATTTTTTTGCTATTAAATGCACTCTACGAAGTGGCTCAGGGAGCCATGTTATAAATGTATCCAGAGGCCTATATTGAAGCTTTATACATGTAGCTATATCTATACAGAATTCTGTACATAGCCTATATTTACAGTGGAAATGTAAGCTGTTTATTTTATATTAAAATGAGCGCTGTGGTTAATACCAGTGCATATTCTTTTCTATCCTATTTTTTCCCCCTCTGTACCGTTTTAGTGGGGTTGGGAGCCTGGCTTGGGGCTCTTTCCACTCACCCCTAAGTTCCGGGTGGAAATGAAAGTTTCGTGTAACTCCCCCTCCCTCTCCTATTGTCATCATTCCCATGTAAGGCATGTGGGACAAGACAGCAGTCAAAGAAGACCCTTGACAATTGTTAAGACAGGAGCCACAGTTTCTCATGGTACTGTGCCCTGGAGGGCTTTAACATTCCCCTCCCTTGGGGTGGTTTCGTTAGCAAATACTTAACTATAGCAGGAAGTGAAGGGCCCATCACAAAACTCAGGTAGCTTTGAACCCAGTGCATTCACCTGGGTGCACACAATGACACCGTCAGTCGGCTGGCTGTTATTTCATCCAACACGGTCAAGCCACTCCCATTTTGCTAAGCAAAAGAACCTCTCCAAAGCATATGCAGCAGGGATCTCCAAAGCGGGCAACTTTTCAGACTTGTGGACTTCGACTCCCAGAATTCCTCCGCCGGCCATATTGTCTGGGGAATTCTGGGAGTTAAAAGTCCGCAGATCTTTTCCCATGACGTACAGCGTTATTCCCAAGCTGTCACAGCTAAATCTTTTTTTTAGACTGGACCCTGCTACTTCCTACGGCGTTTCTCTGCCGAGATGCAGACTTTTGAGATATTCACGTTTATTTCGGAAAAGTTCTCCAGACACTTTGGTACTTTTTAAAATCGTTATTCATTCACCCGACTGTATGTGCACAAAATTTTGCTCTTGCATACTCATTAATGGAACTATTACATCCTCAGCATCTTGCAGCTTTTAGCAGGCACCTGATCAGGTTCTGACACTGGTGTAGGGAATTTCGTTTTCTAATTGTAAAGAGGCCTACCTCAGGTTGCTGGTCCTGTGTCGTACGTTACCATGGTTACTGTACACCATCTGTGTTGTATGGGACCGGTAGCCCAGACGGGCGTGGTCAGTCTCGTAATAGCTGTTTCGATCGGTCAGCACTGCATGTTTGTTGGTCTGTTTTTGTCCAGCTGGACATTTTATAGCCTTAGCATGTTTGCAAATTGTCTTGTCGAGACGGACATCTGCAAAACTGAATAAAAATTATTTTGGTTTTTGTAAAGACGTGTGTGCCCTTTCATTGTACTGAGTTTTCTCCCGCGAAGCAGCTGGGATGAGCTGTGTACTGTTGCCATTTAATCAGCCACAATTTAGGGATACGGTTAAATTTAATAGCTTATGTTCTTTTATTTAGCACGTTATATTGCAGTTTCCTAAAGACGTTTCATGCGTATTGCTTTGCATGAAAACGGAACCTGGCCTTCGTGGTATATTCAATAATCCATAGGGCTTTTAAAATTTATTATTTAATTGATTTTTAAAAAGTGATTTTAAAAAACACAAAAAGAATAAAGTGCAAACATAAAAATGGATACATTAGCAAAGAAAAGGGAAAAAAACACAGATTTACTAAGTCCTTAGTTAAATGACCCATAGTTTAAGATGGATGTTTAAATCTGTCTGAAATGTCACCACCATATAGTTACTCTATATGTAGTAAGAGCCGAGGTGGCATAGTGGTTAGGGTGCAGGCCACTTCAGCTGACTGTTATCTGCAGTTCAGCGGTTCTAATCTCACCGGCTCAAGG